TCGTCGTCGCTGAAGGAGAAGAAATCTGAGGATCCTGTGGCGAAGCGCCCGTTTATACCAATGGCCGTGCAGTTGCACTGCGTGATTGAACAAAGGCTTCAGGTTAGGAGAAAAATTACTTTTTCCCATAGCGTCTTGAGCAGACAGTACAAGTGAAGTATCGATAGGGAACTAAATTATAGCTACCTTAACCTGCACAAAAAATGAGCACACATCAGAGGAAATCTTGAAAGAGAGTCGATTTGAAAGAGATGTATTTGACATTTATGCTACTAGAGTCATAAATTTGAGTCAGTTTTGGGGGTGTTTTTGACATATGTATATATTATCAGTGTTTGCCAGCAGTGGTGAAAGCTTGCAGACATGTGTTGAGGAGACGGGGGGTGGGGTGAATCCCCCACAATCCTATTAGTGTGGATTAGAGCGCGGCTTCCTCACGCAACGCTACACCGCTGCAAGGTGCCGGGTTGTGCATCAGCAGAAAAAAAGAGCAGTGACATTGTTGACTACTTCTTACAGGTATTTTTGTCCTCATTTTTTGCAAATAGATAATGCTGTCTCTCCAGGATCTGATTATTTATAGCTTGTTTCTAGCTGTGTTATAGCACCTCACATTCTGCATATCATCTGAAGGACCCAAACATTAGAAACAAGTGGTAACAAGAGTGTTTTTTAACAATGTATTTAAATCTGACCCTAACCGTTGGAGTGGTTTCAGCACACATTTCAGCACCACTTGTTTTATGCATGTCTCAATGTAATGCAAAAGGTCTGTTACTAAAGGATGGAGTATCAGCAAATACATTTTGACTGAAAACAAAAATGTGCAGCAAAGCACTACTGCTCATTTTAAAGGTGAAGATATTAGCCATTCATGACACTGGATATTCACAGAGAAGTTTACAAAGCACAGCAGCAAAAACAGCCTGTTGAACTCTAAGGCACAAGAACATCGCTGACACTGATAACCAGCTCAACCTCCTCAAGTAACATCTCACCCATCCTACACGCCTCACCAGAGCATATCCGCTGATTTTATTCTGCTTCAGTCATATTACTGTTCGCCTTCCATAAATCACAACTCCCCAGTACAGACAGATGCACATAATACTACTTATTGTTTTGGGAAATGGCATCTTTGTTCCTGGAACATTTTCACTGCATTGTCAAGCTTATTCAAAACAACAGCAGGATGCGCTCAATAGTGACCCGTAGAAGATATTAAGCACTCGGTGTCTACAAAATAATGGAACACATTTGGATAAATCACTTCAGGCAAACATTTGATGTCCTTGGAGAAACCTTGTTGCCTTATTTAAAGAGTCAGCAATGATGCTTCATTGTTCACTTATTTGTTTGTAGTTAGACTCAAAAAAATGCACTACTCAATTTATTTTGACAGTTGTGGGGTATAATAATCAGAAGTGCTTCAGGACCAGGCATGCACAGTGGAGTTGTAATCCTTTCCTTATTGTTCACTTCCCTGAACGGGTCTATAATGAGATTTTTATTTATTTATTTTTTTTATGAATGAGTGCTGCTCTACTGAGCCAAATCAGCACAACAGAAAAAGTACTTGCTTTGTATAATGACAGAACATACAGCCTTTAAGACTTTCTTTTTATATTCTTACTAAAGGGAAGTATAGTTTCAGTGCATCAACAGCACATAATGTATTATTCTTGGCATTTAATGAAAGAAACCAATAAATGAGATATATAAAAATAGTCATTATATGTGACTGTCGCTGAATAGTGAAGCAATGGGCTTTTGGACTGTGAGTGTTTACACTGTTTTATATCCACAGCACGAAATCCACTGCATTCAGCTCCATTGAACATAAAAGGAGCAATTTAGTTGTCATTTTCTGTTACTGTTACTGTTGTGTGTGTGTGTGTTATATATATATATATATATATACAATTCAAGTGTTCCATAATGTAAAGCTGTGTTTGTATTCATTAACTCAGTCTGGACTCATTAACTTATCAACTCCAACTTATGAGATGTTATTTTGATTATACTAGTAGCAAGTTTATGTTTTTGGAAAGAAAACTGTGTATGTGTTTCTGCCACTGTAAACCAAATGGCTTATTATTATTATTTTTCCCAGAGAAATTTTGAAGGTTATGTTTAGAGGTTGCATTAGGGTTAGGGAAAGAAAATATCATTAGCATGGTATAAAAACCATTACATTAGACAGACTCCAGTGGAGTGACTTAATTGGTTGATTTGCGATTTCAGCAGGACTGTAAAACACTTCTATCCAATCAGATTACAGCATGTCTAATCCACCCGACACCCTAGCACAACACATTACTCAGAGATGTGTGCATTTGTACAATGAATGTGTGTGTGTGTGTGTGTTTGTGTCAGTCTGTGCAAACAGTCAAATTTAGGACAAAATTGCACATATTCTGACAGTCAGTCATATCATAATTTAGATTTTTAATGCATGAAAACATCATCCCAGCAGACATCAACCCGACACCCTAGCACAACACATTACTCAGAGATGTGTGCATTTGTACAATGAATGTGTGTGTGTGTGTGTTTGTGTCAGTCTGTGCAAACAGTCAAATTTAGGACAAAATTGCACATATTCTGACAGTCAGTCATATCATAATTTAGATTTTTAATGCATGAAAACATCATCCCAGCAGACATCTCAAAACTAATTTC